GTGGCGCACAGGTTTAGTTGCTCCGCGGCATGTGGGATCTTACTGGACCAGGGCTCAAACCCATGTCCCCTGCACTGGCAGGCGGATTCTTAACCACTGTGCCACCAGGGAAGCCCTAAATTATGGTTTTTAATGGCTAAATATTATTCCAAATTGTTGTCTTACATCATACTTTACTTAACCAGTTTCCTTACTGCAGTGCTTCTTGGATTTCCGCAGCACTTTTCAGGCCAAAAGGACAAGAGGAAAGAATACTTAAGCCTTCTACCTTTTACATTTTGGGGATTACTTTCTAACAACAATTATTATAATTTCCCATTAAGAGTACTCTCCAGGGCTTCCCTGGTGGCACAGTGGTTGAGAGTCCGCCTGCCGATGCAGGGGACACGGGTTTGTGCCCCGGTCCGGGAAGATCCCACGTGCCGCGGAGCGGCTGGGCCCATGAGCCATGGCTGCTGAGCCTGCGCGTCCGGAGCCTGCTCCGCAACGGGAGAGGCCACAACAGTGAGAGGCCCACGTACCACAAAAAAAAAAAGAGTTCGCCTTCCAATGTCGGGTGTGCAGGTTCAATTCCTGGTCAGGGAGGTAAGAATCCACATGCCTTGCAGTCAAAAAACCGAAACATAAAACAGAAGCAATATTGTAACAAATTCAATAAAGACTTTAAAAATGGTCCACATCCAAAAAGAAAAAAGAAAAATAAGGGTGCATTGTTTCCAGGTGGATTGTATCTGTAATTTAACTTTGGCACCATTGATGTAAAAGCCATCTTTGCCTTGCATTTTCCTATGTCTTCTCTATAGGTTCCTTCCTATGCAACTCTCTAAATAGAGTAAGTGTGGAGGGAAGCCTTTCCAGCCTGGCAGGAGTTCACGTATTCAGTATGTGTTGTCCCAGGTATCTTGCCATGCTGTGCCCAGGGGTATTCCATAGTTCCTACGCTGTGCTGGTCCACTTCAGGTATAGTTTAGTGACTATTGCAGTGCCTTCATTCTATCTGATTAGTCCTTCCCCTTCTCGTTTCACTCGTGATTCTTTCTTCATTGTTCTTCATCTTCCCTTGAAATCTCTTCTGCCCCTCCAACGTTTCATTAGTGTCTCTTCTAATAGCTTTTCAGAGTCCTTAAATTTAATTCGGTATTTTTCCACGTCTTAAAGTTGTTACATATTTAAGTTTAAAAAAGCTAAAAAAAATATATTATATTCTTTAGTTGAATGAATACTCAGGAATGTGTCCAGATTTTAGAATTAATGTTCTTTAGTAAATTCGAAATAGGTGACTGGTGAGGGTTGTAGGCGGTCTAAACATAATTTTGAACAGATAAAGAAAATAAGCACTGAGAAATCCACACAGTTCTCATAAACAGTCACTGCCCTCTCCTGTCATTGTCGACACTTGTAAATGAACAAGGTGGTTTTTATAGGCTGTCTGGATGTGTCTGCATTCATTGGCCCCTGAGATCTCCACACGTAGTTCAACCATGGGGAAACAGACGTAAACATTTTGAGTCTAAAAAGTGCATGAGCAATGTTAAGACTGTAGATTTTTTTCACTTACAGACTCATTCTGTGTTACCTCAGACTCTATATTTGCTCTGTGCCCTTCTACCACGAAGCACCCAGCCTTTGTACTCAGACGTGATCTGACTCTAGCTTGACTTCTTATGGATCGAGTCTCATTTCCCACTATCCGCCTTTGCAAATGGGGTTGATAGATCCACCCCTCAAGGTCGTTGTGAGAATCGCATGCCTAGCACTGTGTCTTGGTGCTTAATAGACGCTTTTGTTATAATTGTAATCATAGCTTAGATATAATATTTAACATGGAAACTTCCAAGCATGCACCAAAGTGGAGACAATAGCTTATTGAATCTCAAAGTGCCCGGCTTCAATAATTATCCACCCATGCTGATCTTTCATATACACACCCCATGTCCCCCCAAGATTATCTTGAAACAAATCACAGATACGATGTTATTCATCCACAAGTATTAGAATGTGTATCGCTGAAGGATATTCTCTTAAAAGAATAACCCTAAAACATTATCAGAACTAATAATTCCTAAATATTATCAAAGATCCAGTTAGTATTCAAATTTTAACTGCTGTGAAATCAGTATCCAAATAAGGTCCCTTTATATTTATTATACCTCTTAATATTTTACTGGAAAAAATAATTAAAGCGTGGGAAGAGATTTTGCTGCAAGAATGTCCCTGGCAGTGTTGTTTAGAATGGAGAAAAAGTAAACTAGGTTAATCAGAGGAGATGGGAATTGGCTCCAAAGAAATAGAACATATTTAAATTTAAAACGATACTGTAGGGCATTCCCTGGTGGTCCAGTGGTTAGGACTTGGTGCTTTCACTATCGTAGGCCCAGGTTCAATCCCTGGTCAGGGAACTAAGAGCGGTGTGGCCAAAAAACAAAAAACCTGTAGAAAGACTATGTAATGAACAGAAAAAGTATCGGTAAGTGAAAGAAGCAGGTTATAAAACAGTATTTATACTTTCTATTTTTGCTAATAAAGTATATATCATATACACCTATTTCTGAATGGTGAGGAAATCAGCAATTTTAATTCTCTCAAATTTTAGAATTAATTCTTCTCGTCTTTCTACAATGATCACGTATGGCTTGTGTAATAAAAAGTTATTTAGGGCTTCCCTGGTGGCACAGTGGTTGAGAGTCCGCCTGCCGATGCACGGGACACGGGTTCGGGCCCCGGTCCGGGAGGATCCCACATGCCGCGAAGCGGCTGCGCCCGTGAGCCATGGCTGCTGAGCCTGTGCATCCGGAGCCTGTGCTCCGCAACAGAAGAGGCCACAACAGTGAGAGGCCCACGTACCGCAAAAAAAAAAAAAAAAAGTTATTAAAAAAAAAAATGCAGCCAAAGTGCATCTTGGCAGTTGTTTGGTTTCATCCGGAGTTAGTTATATTTGGCTCATCATGCTTTCTTCTTACCATGTGTTTTCTCATGTGATCTGCAGAGAAGTCCTCTGAGGCAAGAGGAGGCAGGAGCTCTGGGAGGGTTTGCGTCTTCACTTGACACTAGCGCCCAGCTCCACGAAAGTGCATTCGGACAGCGACTGTTCTCTGTTTGGGACACATGATCTCATGCGGTCTCTGTGTGCCATCCTGTGAAGGTAGGAGACGGGGGTGTGCTGAGACTAGTCTTCCTTTACAGATGGGGAAACTGAGTTACTGTCCTCAGGTGGGTTGTAGGGCCAGGTGTCGGTCCAGATGTCTGATGCTGGCCATGACCATGAGATGACACGGTGCATCTCTTTGGAGTTTCAACTTCTCAGTGTAGGTGTGTGAGGAGCGGGACCTACTCATGTTTGGCCAAGGGAGGGCTTAATCCTGCTTCGGTGTAACACCTCACACCGCGTTATGAGGTTCAGGATCTGACCAAACTTGCCCGGGTTCTCCATGCCCATTTAGGGTAGGATTGGCTTCTGCTGTCTTTGCTTTCTGTGAACTGTTCACTTTCTGTCCACTGTCACCTCCTCTAACCTTTGCTGCCGATATCTGCAGCCTCTGAGTCCCTCTCAGGGAGTGTCCCTACCCTCAGCTCAGGCCTCCTACGGCTCTCTGAGGTCCTCATCCAGGGCCTGCCTGCTGTGTCTGCTGTGTCTGCACCAAAAACTCCCCACCTTCCACCACGCTGCTACTTCCGCCTTCTCCTCTTGCCTGCGCTCCCCCTGCTCTCTGGAGCTGGTCCTCACTCCTTTTGTGCATCCACATCTGTACCCTCAATTTAGCTGTATACGCCTTGTTCTCTAATTGGGTCTCTAAATGCCCATCTTTTCTCCCCTAAAAGACAGTGGGCTCTTTGCAGGCAGGCACGGTCAATAATGATGGTGATGGTAACAGCTCTGATGCGTGACTGGGCACATCTGGTAGATCAGCCAGAGCTTTGAGATTTATGATGTGATTTCTCATTCAGTGATGACAACAAACCTGTGTTATTATCCCACTTGACAGATGGAGAAACTGAAGCTCTGAGAGGTTGAGTAACTTGTCCAAGGTCACCCAGCTAGAAAGTGACAGAGCAAGAATTTTGACCGTTATCTGTCTGACTGCAAAGCCTGTGCTTTTCCACACTGTACATACTCTTTGTCACTGTTGTTTGCTTGACTCAGATTTCCTTGAGTGTTATTCACGGTGGCATGCTCAGGGTCCTCATTTCTGGGTGGCAGAAAAGCTTCCTGTTGTTAAGATAGCAGGTAGGAATCTCTCTGGTCAAGGTATTCAGGGCTTGGCTTCTCTGAGCCCAGGTGGTTGGCTGGGATGAGAACATTCCAAGCTCTGTGTGTCCCTCCCACCCCCACTTTCTTGCCTCTGCTCTTCCTTCACTGCCCCACAACTTCTTTCTCTTGTTTTTTTTTCCCCCCCTGGGGAATTTAAGCAGCCAGACATTCTCCCTTGAGTATCAGGGGGCCCTGGAGCTGCAGGTCTGATACCTCTTGACAGAGTTGGTAAGAAATTGGAGCCACAGATCAGCAAAAGGCCCTGAGGAGAGAATCCAGACAGTAGACAGAACCCCCCTCCTGCCCGCCTGCAGCTCACATACCCCATGTGAACCCTTCCCCTTCACAGCCCCCCTCCCCATCCGCCAATCAGAATCCTTGCTTTGGAGCTCCTGAGCCCTTAGGCTAAGCCCCACCCCTCTCCCAGCATCCTGAAGTTTAGGGGCTGCCTTCAAGTGAGAGATTTCCAAGCAGGGGTGTGCTGGAGGGACTTCTTCTGAGGGCAGCTTGTCCTGGAAGAATGGGGGAAAGGTGATCACTGCCACTGTCTCCAAGGACATCAGTGTAGCTCCCTGGGAGACCCTCTGCCCTTTCCCCCTCCCACCAGCCCAGGCGAGCAGGGACCAAGCTTGCTTATTGTCACCTGACGCTGGGCAGCCACTGATCCCATTGGTGGAGCCAGACTCGGTCTGGCTCTCTCGTTCTTTCTCGCCTTCTCTGCCTCTCTCTCCTCCACGCCGCCGCTTTGATCTCGCTCTTGTTTCTCTCCTGGCGCTCGGCTGGGAACATCGCCTCGCCTCTTGGGGGGCAGCAGCGTTGTGCTGCAGAGCCAGGGAGGAGCTGCCTGCGGGGCATGGAAGAAGCCTCCTTGGCAGCTGAGAGAGGAGCCAGGGGAGCGAGAGAGCGCTGCTGCCTTTGACCCAGGCGTCCAGCTGCTGCCCCTCAGCCTGGGGAGACTGTCCACGCAGAGGTCTCTCCCCTCCCTCCCTTCCAGATCTTCCTCTGCAGAGCCCGGTGGAGCCAGGTGAGTGTCCTTTCTCCCCAGAGCATTGATCCTGCTGTCAATCCCGAGAGGGACTCGGGTGGCCAGGGACTAGGGGGCACCAGGGTCCTGCCACTGCCCGAGGTGCCCACCTGGATAGCCAGGGCTGACGACCTTGTCCCCTTTCCCCCGGGCCCTTGGCAAAGGGGTTCACAGCTGGATCCAGTCCCTGGGGCACCACAGTCAGACCGTGACCATTCTGCTGCCGTCAGCGATGCCAACGGGGACAGCGGGGTGGGGGGATGCGTCCCCTCTGGCGTGTGGTGGCTGTTCTGAATGGGCATGGGCCGGGGGTATCGGTGTGTTCAGCACGAGTGCCTGCTTGCCGGGGAAGTGGAGGCTTGCTTGCGTACATAGTTCTGTCTGCCTGCACTTATGCTCACGTGTGGCGGGTCTGGGAACATACATGTACATGTGAGGTCCACGGGGGGGGGGATCAGTTATCTGAGCAGCCTGGGGGCTGTGTGGGCGGGGATTAGTGTGAGGCAGTATATTTATGGGGTGGACATCTCACTTGTCACGCGTGTGGGAGTGCATTTTGTTGGGGGGCTGACTGCATGCGACCAGAGGGTTTCTACGTGGGGAGGCACAACTCCGGAGCAGAAGGCGGATGGAGGTGGGGAGAGCGGGCAGAAGCCTCTGTCCGCGGGCAGGCCCGCGTCCGTAGGTGCGCAAACCTGTTGGCATGTGAAGGACCAGGGCTGGCGGAGCCTGGTGGAGGCAAACACGTTTTCAAAGTCTGTTGCTTTGAGCCTGGAGAAGCCGTGAGAGAGAACGCCAGAATATGGGCAGAGGTTGACGTGTATGCGAATGCACACGTGTGCGCAAGCAGGCGGAGGGGTAGCGTGCCTCTGTGGAGGCGGCACTCATGCATGTTGGTGCCTGTGGCCTCCTTTCTTCCCCAAATATGGCTTGTGGGAAGGCGTGTGTGCCTACGTGTGTGTGTGAGAGCCTGCGGACGTGAACATGCGTGGGTCTGTGTGGAGGTGACAGCTTATGGAGGGACAACTGTGGGACATTCTTGGAACGTGGAAGGTGGCGGAGGGTACCTGAGTGCGTAGGTGAGTGTGTGGGACGAGGATGTCTGAGGAGGCGTGTGCAGCCGTGTGTGGCAGGTGTGGGTGGGCATACCCAGTGCATCTGTGTGCGTGCGTGTGTGCCTGCCTGTGTGTGGGTGTGTAAATGCTTGTCTTGGGGTGGATTACATGGGACCGTGGGTGTTTCTCAGGTGCTGTCTCAGCCTGCCCCTCAAACCCTGCCCCTCTCCATCATCGGGGCTTGGAGACCCGGGTGCACGCCCATCCTTGGTCCACTCGGCTTCATTGTTCTCCCAGTGTCACTCACTGCCTCCCCCCAAGCTAGCATGGGGGAGTGATCTGAGCTCTCCTAGAACTGGAGAGAGGAAAGGAGGAGCCAGGTCCTGGAGACCCCTGCCACCAAACACGGCTGCCCCTGCTGCCCCTGCCTCTGGGAAGACTGAGGAGAGGAGTACGGGGACAGGAATAGGTGTCCACCCACAGGCTAGGCGTAGACTGTGTCCCATGTGGGTGGGAGGTGGCCGCTCAGGCCCTCTGGGGTGGCTGTGTTGGTGTGCGTGGGTGCATGTGTGTGTGTGTGGGTGCATGTGGGGTGCACACATGTGTCTCCCAGGGGGAGCTCCTCACTGGGAGCCCGAGGGATGGCAACTCCCCCCTGCTCCACACCTGTCCCCAGGAATTACCAGCTGGTTTATTATCATACAGTTGTTTCTAGACACTGATCCCATTCTGTTTGATTTCGGGGTGGACCTGGTAGCACCCCTGTGCTTATTCACCATAGGATTCCCCACACGCGAACCCACTGGCATTTGGCTGAATTTCACAACAGGCAGGCACACACTTTAGGGTGGGAAGCTAAGATGCAACAAGGATTCAGGTGACATCCTGGGACAGGTGAGAGCCATCACCCATATTCTTCTCCCTGTGCCTGCCGCCCAGGCAGCCCAGAGGTGCCAGTCACCGGAGCAGGCTTAATTGACAGGAAAGTGTGGGTTGGACCTTCTGGGAGCTATAAATAGGAGTACCTGCTTTCGAAGGCACAAGGTACCCTCACCCTTAGCGCCTGGGTGAGGAAGAGGGGAGGGGGAGAAAAGGAGATGCCACTCCAGAAATCTGAGGTGTGCTGTGCTGAGCTTGAGGCGGGCATGAGCTCTATGGGGTAATGAGCACACGCCCCAGGACAGAGTCCAACCACATTCACGTTCTTGTCCCAGAGACAGTCACTTCCCCTTCCTCTCACTCCCCACCCTGTTCCCCGGAGCTCCCGTGAGCCAGGCCAAAGTCAAGGCCAGAGTCAGCTCGTCCTATAGCTAAAGCACAGTTGAGAGTGACGGTGGTGCGCTCCTTTCCCACCTGGAACAGCAGCCAGGGGTAGAAGCAAAGGAGTGAGAGAGGGAGGTGAGAGAAAAAGCAATACCTTGAAAGGGAAGGATGGAAGGAGGAAAAATAAATAGCGGTAAAACCACGTGCACATGTGCACACACACACACCACACATGTCTCTCTCACACACACACACACACACACACACACACAAGGGGACACAACCTTAGCTTCATGATAAAGAGCTTGGGCCCTGGAATCAGACAGACCTGAGTTCAAATCATTTGGCAGCTGTGTGACCTTTGACATCTTAGTACCACCCCCCACCCCACCGACCTCAGCTACTTCATCTGTAAAATGGGGATAATAATCGTACCTACCTATTGTGAGGCTTGCATGAGATGATGTTTGTGAAATTATTAGCACGTAGTTGGCCTGCAAGAGATGTAAAGGTAAAAACTGGTAATTTAAGAGTCAAGCGACAGAGGATCCGCTGAAAGAAAAAGAACGAGAGTTGAAATGTTACAGGTGGAAGAGAACCGTGGCCCTGTTGTCCCCTCCCACCACCAGTGGATTCACGTCATCTCGGTGGCACTCGTATTCCCAGCCCCGAGTTGTGGTGGCCCTTGCTGAGTCACCCCCAGGGAGGAGGGGGCCTGAACCCGAGAGCCCTGGCATCCTGGGCCTCTTGGCTGCCAGCGCCCCCTGCCTGCCTCACCCTCACGCCCTGCTCCCAGTGGGGGCTTCCTGCCACTCCTCCACCGCCTGGCACTGCTCTCTCCACCCCACCCCTTTCTCTTTTCACGCCTGCTGGCTGAGGGCCCCCCTCCTTGGCTCCATCTGCTGCAAATCTGTCCTGCCCCACGTTTGAAGCATTCCCACTGCCTCCGCCACCTGTCAGGTGCCATCTGCTCTGCAGACACCTCCCAGGAGAGCCAAGAGCCCCCGAGGGGGCCACCCCAGCCCACCTTCGGCCCCACCCCTCCAGTCCTCCTCGTGCTATCTTCCCATCAGATCTGATGAGGCAGGTGCAATCGATGGCTCCCCAAGGTTCCACCTTGCAAGTGATGCTGGGAGCAAGACATTCTAGACGATTCCGTGGCGGGGAGGGAGGTGCTGAGTCTTCCTCTCTCCTCAGTCCACACAGAAGCCAAACCAGTGGGGAGCATGGAGCTGCTGTCCACGCCGCACGGCATCGAGGTCAGCAACATCACCTGTGACTCCTTTCGCATCTCCTGGGCCATGGAGAACAGTGACCTGGAGAGGGTCACCCACTATTTCATTGACCTGAACAAGAAAGAGAATAAGAACTCCAACAAGTTCAAACACCGGGTGAGCGCAGGGTGCCCAGAGTGCCTCCTCCGAGCCCCTGCTCTTGAAGGGGGCAGGATAACAGAACGCCTAGAGGGGACAGTTGGGAGTCTGAGAGGCCCGATTCCAGTCCAGCTCTTACTGTGTAATCTTGGGAAAGTTGTTTAACCTCTCTCCCCCACTGGTAAAAAGGGAATACTAATAATGCCAGCGTGGGAGAGGCTTCATCGAGGTTAATTGTCCGCGTGGTATTTGGCCTCGGCCCAGCACACGGCAAACACCATCATCGGCATCATGACTGGACCTTCACATGGGATGGGAAAACCCAGGGTGAGGCCACAGACGCCACACCTGGGGATGGCGTCTCAGGGGTCCGACAAAGCCCCCGACTGAGAAAGCAGCCTTATTGTTGACCGGGTGGGCAACGTGGGCCACGAACAGGGTTGTGCCCCTTTGCTTGGTCCTCAGGCCCCTGTGATCCTCTCTGTCCCCGACCCTCTGGCCTATTCTTTGCTGGGTTTAGAAGAGGGTTGGCGAGTCCTGCACTGGCTGGGATGTCCTTTCCCTGGGTTAGAGCCGGCGTGGGGGCGGGTGGGAGGAAGGCTCCCATCTTCTCAAGCTGGCAGAGAGGCAGGGGGAAGAGTGAGGTGGGAAGGAGCTGGTTCCCACGACGACCGCATCGTGTGGGTTACTCGCCTTCTCTCTCTTTGGAGCTGGCTCTCCAATCTGGGTGTCTTTTGGCAGGCCAGTTGCCACGGTGACGTGACTGTTCAACACCACCCCCTTAACCCTCCCCCCAAAAGAAGAAGGCGTACTTTCCCTTCCGCCCTGGCTTCTCAGCATTTGCCGTTGCCGTGGAGACGGCACTGCAGTGTGCAGAGCTCTCGAAGTCTCCCTCGGAAAAGAAGGTCTCGCCGCCCTCAACTTTGCGGGCCTCCACCCCAGTGGTCTTCCTCCTCAGTTCCCAAGAGAACAGGCATCGGGGGGTTAAGGGGGTGGAGGCCAGGGAGTGTCTGTATGGCCTTCCCAATGGCCACTGCTTGCTTCTGCGGGAAAATGGTGACCAGGGCACCGAGTCATTGAATCCTTGAGGCTCTGGCTCTCCTCA